GGTTTCTTTTTAGGTTTTTATCTCATTACTGATATTTCCATTTTGTTCATACATCATTTTCTTAACTTTCTACATGTCATGTTTAGCTCTCTGAGCATTTTAAAAGACAGAGGTGTTAAAGTTTTTGCCTACTAGTCCACCATCTGTTTTTTCTCCAGGACAGTTTCTGTCAATTTAGTTTTTTTCTTTGAATGAATTACATTTTCCTATTCCTTTTACACTCTGTGACTTTTATTTCTTCTGAAAACTGGACATTTGAATCTATCATTCAACATGGTAACTTTCAAAATCAGTTTTTCCCTCCTTCCATAGGGTTTGCTATGTTGTTTTTGTTGTTTGATTGTTGTCAGCTTTTCTGTTCTGGGGATTACCTTGAGATGTAAGCTTAAGGTCCTCTCAGATCTTTTCTGAGGCCATACCTTTCCTTGGCCATCTGTAGTGCTTTTCTAAATTCTCATGGATATGTGATTGTTTCTGAATGTCCTGGTCCTTAAATGTCTGGCTCCCAAAAGTGGAAAAATAGAAAAAGAGGAACAAAGGGTGCTGGACCTTTAAATTTCCAAGAAGTCGCTTCATCTTGAGATGGTGGTGCTTGTAATCATGGGGAGGGGGACTGCAACAACAGCTGCCTGCTTCTGCGTCTACACCTCTACAGTCAGAAGCAGCAAATGGTAGTCAGAACACAAATCCTTGATCTTTGGAGGACAGGGTCCTTATTGCCCACCCTGGCTCCCACAAGCTGTGTGCAAGCTGCTCCTAGGACACAGGTAGGGCTGCCTATTTCAGCACTGAGGGCTGGAGGAAGTGTAGCTGCTAACATGCTAAAAGCTGAAATTGACCAAAATTAACTGTAATTCTGTGATAGTTGTAAGCCTTGGAATAGACCCCAGAATTGCAAAATAGTTACACCAGGCAGATTCTGCCAATACAATTGTTGTCTAGATGAGAAGACAGGCTGCTGGTGCTTCCTGCTTTGGCTTCTTCCCAGAATATTCTCTATCCACAAAAATTTTCTTTAACTTATGTAACAAACTTATGAAAGGGGTACAGTTATCTCCATTTTATAGATGAGTCAATTAAGGTTCAGAAAGGCCACAGGTCACATATCTTGGATGTAGTAAAGCTAGGATTTGAATCTAAACCTGGCTCCAAGCTCTTTACCATTTCACCAGTGCTTTTCAAAATTTAATGTGCACACAAATTACCCAGGGAGTTGTAAAAATGCAGATTCTGATTCAGTTGATCTGGAGCAGGGCCCAATATTCTCCTTTTCTATTGAACTCTCAGGTGATTCCAATGTTTCTGGTCCTTGCTCTTTTTTTTTTTCCTTTTTGTCTTTTTTCGTGACCGGTAATGGGATCCCTCCTTTTCTATTGAACTCTCAGGTGATTCCAATGTTTCTGGTCCTTGCTCTTTTTTTTTTTTTCCTTTTTGTCTTTTTTCGTGACTGGTAATGGGATCCCAACCCTTGGTGTCGCACCCGCACCGCGCTCAACCAGTGAGTGGACCAGTCTCTATATGGGATCCAAACCCTCGGCGGGAGCGCCACCGTGCTCCCAAGTGCCGCACTCTACCGAGTGCGCCACCGGCCGGCCTGATCCTTGCTCTTTGAAGAGCAAGACAGTACAGTACACTTTCCTCATCCAGGAAAGAGGATAAGCCCAAGAAAAAAACTGAGAATTGGATAAAATTTATCTTCCAAATGCTCTCCCTACCCTTTTAGCACTCCTTCTCCTTCCATGAGACACTTTTTTCTACCTATGCTATCCATAGTTGCCCAGGAATCTGCTGCAGTGCATCATCTGGGTCTTCCAGCCTTAGTCAGTCCCTATGGTCTTTCTGCTCCTTCTCCTCTCAGCAGCACATAAAGGTATTTGATGTTACTCTACAGTAACAATGAGCACCCCTAGTACGCATATCTTGGTTCCTAAATCCTACTCTTCAATATAAAAAGCCAGGGCTCCTTAGAGAAGTGGTTAATTACAGGGCTAAGCCAAAGGAAATGCAAGATGGGCCTGGTGCCAGAAAATAAGAACATACTTGAAAAAGGATGGGCTTACTGAAAGGAAACAGGAGCCAACATAAAGGAGCTACCAATGGCCAAAGCTAATTGGGCAACAAAATAAATTATTATAACATTGTATTATAACCTATAGAATAAAATAAATATCCATGGGTCCATACTTTGATCAATAAACAATAAGTAAACAAATCGGGAAGAGAAGCATTTATTCCTTACACAAAAAGTCTAATTAGTAAATGTAGAAGAAATAGAAATAGAAAATACCATTAGCCAAACACCACCATAATAATTGTTATAGGCAAGATGCACCCATGGATGCTAAAATCAGTGGGTGTAAGTTTGAGGAAAAATAGGGTATTTGCATTTTCCAAGAATCGTCCCCCAAGATATTTACTAAACATAAGGGGAAAAAACTAGTAACATGACAGTGAAGAAATGTGACTCTGACCAAAGTTAACTTTGTTTAGGGCCTCCACTGGTAATAAGACATATACATCATCACTTCTGTGGTATTCTTGCTAAAAACGTATAACCTCAATCTAATGATAAGAAAACATGAAGTAAAGTTAAATTGAAAGGCATTCTGTAAAATAATTGGCCAGTGCTTATCAAGTGGCAAGGTTGTCAAAGACAAGAAAAGACTGAGGAATTAGAGGAGACTGTGGAGAAGCAACAATTAAATGTGATGTGGCATTTCAAGTCAGATCCTGGAACAGAGAAAGGAGATATGCTTATGTAGCCAGGCACAGAAAGAGAAATACTGCATGTCCTCATGCATAAGTGGGAGCGGAGAAGGAAGGAAGGAAGGAAGGAAGGAAGGAAGGAAGGAAGGAAGGAAGGAAGGAAGGAAGGAAGGAAGGAAGGAAGGAAGGAAGGAAGGAAGGAAGGAAGGAAGGAAGGAAGGAAGGAAGGAAGGAAGGAAGGAAGGAAGGAAGGAAGGAAGGAAGGAAGGAAGGAAGGAAGGAAGGAAGGAAGGAAGGAAGGAAGGAAGGAAGAAAGAAAAGACAAGAGAGAGAAGAGAAAAGAAAGACCACAATAATATGTTGAACTTTCAGAAGGAGAGAACAGACCTATGATTACTAGAGGTGGGAAAGGGGGAGGTGGAGAGGGTTAGGATGAAACTGAGTAAGGGACAAAAAGAATAATTATGATTTATAATGATGAACATACTAGTAATATTGATTTGATCATCATATTTTGCACTGATAGTCACTCTGTACCCCATAAATATGTATAATCAATTGTTTCAATTAAAAAATAGTAGCATAAATACTCATACAATACCTTCCCAAAGCATTTGTTCAATAAACAATTATTCAAGCTGAATAAAGAAAAAAAATAAAGAAAAAAGAAAAGGGACATTTGCAGAAAAACTGATGCAACTCAAATAAAGTCTATAGTTTAGTTAGTAGTATTGTACCAATGGTGATTTCCTTGTTCTGATAATTGCACCTTGGGTATATAAGATGTTAACATTAAAGAAAGCAAGGTGAAGGGTTTATGTGACTCTCTGCACTCTTTTTGGAACTTTTCTGTAAGTGTAAAGTTATTTCAAAATAAAAGGCTAAAAAATGTATTTAGCATTCCTTACCTCAAGACCTTGTTAATCATAGCTGTAATGTTCTTGCATTTTAACACTGATAGAGTAAAAATTTAGAGCTCTGAAATCAGATACATGTGTATTCAAACCTAGTCCCCACTTGTTAGTGTCATGTGCATTAGAACACTCCTGAGAAATTTCATAGCTATAGATTTGGAAAGGCAAGAGATGAGGTCACTCAGGACTGGGGACCAGTAAGTCCATTTCTCATGCTGGCGCCTTCTTTCCTGGGAGATACTACACAAGGACAATAGACAAAGCTTAGAAAAATATGCAAAATTTACAAATAATACTGCAAATATATGGTATTGTATGCAATTGGTGTGCTTCTGAAAAAATTGCCTCCAAATTTATTTTTTCATTTTGGTGGCTTGCCTGTACAGGGATCCAAACCCTTGACCTTCGTGTTATAACACCGTGTTTTAACCAATTAAACTAACTAGCCAGCCCTTAATATTTGAAAATCAAATAATATTTAGAAATTTTCCACTTAACTGTTGACCATGTTACATTTTTTATCTATACCTGCAATGCCTTTGGAAGAAATGGGCTGACAAAACATGTCCGTGTACCAGAAGTTGTAAAGATTCATCTTGAGTTTAAATTATGTGCCATCTTGAAAATGAAATAGCATCCAATAAAAGTTCTTCAAATGGACACAACTATTGTCATTTCCAGTAGAATTCAGTGAAATTTAAAGATTCATCTTGAGTTTAAATTATGTGCCATCTTGAAAATGAAATAGCATCCAATAAAAGCTCTTCAAATGGACACAACTATTGTCATTTCCAGTAGAATTCAGTGAAATTTGATACACATGAAATTTGATTTATGTTATAGATATATCTGATTGTACCTTGGGAAGTACATAAATCATAGAACCATTGGTTTAAATGTCCTGAAGAGGTTTCCTAGTTTTGGAGACTAATGTTTTTAGTTCCCTTATAGTGTATCTATATGTTTTGTGAATTCAGATTTTGTAACATAAATTTTGTTAACATGTGCAAACTTCTTATATATTTTTTTCAGAATATTTTTCTTTCTGTGTCATCTAAATTCATCTCCCTCTGGGATGTCCCTGTGAGGCAAAGAGGGACAGGAATTATTATTACTCCCATTGCATGGATGAGAAACCTTAGACTGACTAAGGATGAAGTAATTTGCAAAAGAACACCCCGAAAACTTAATGTCAGATCAATGCTAAATACAGACTTTTTCTACTGAACTCTATTATCTATACTCCAAAACCTTGCTTGTTCTAGACCAAACAGCTAGTCTCACTGTAATTCAAGGGGGACAAAATAGGGGTAGGGACAGAAGAAATAGCCAAGGCATAGCCGAGCCCCATGTGGCTTAAGAACCACAGGTAGCACTTACCAAGCAGAGAGGAATACAGTCTCATCATTGAGAAGGCAAGGTGGATGGGAGATGTTTGCACCACAAATTTACAGTGCAGGCGACCAAAATCCAGGCAGGGCTGGACAAGCCACATGAACATGTCATTGACCTGGGAGTAGAAAGCTATGTGAGATTTGGAGACATGATCAGAAACTGAGCTGAAGATCAAGAGCTTGATTACCTCGGGAGGCTGTAGATATAGGTAAGATTGCAGATTACTTCTGAGTGCAGGTGCATTGGAGAAAACCCACAGGCACCAAGACCCCTGCCCCAGTTTCCTCCTGAATGGTCCTAAGACTGTGCAGCCCACAGACCATGCTGATTCAGTTTCCCATGCCCATTCCACTGTCCAGAGCTGGATGCTGAGAGAGGCGTGGAGATTCTCTAGGTCGGCTATAGGACACACAAAGTAGGTTTAGGACCCAGCGGCTGTATATGACTTTATTTCTATGAAAAATACTAGGAATTCTAAACAACTGCTTTACAAATGACTGTTAGACATTTGTAAGGTGGGACTCCCGTATAAAGTGGGGCCATGGAAAGAGCAGAGCTAGGTTTGGGGCTCATTTCAGAAAGTCAGCATATGTGCGTGTGTATTTATGTGCTTATTTGGGGGTATATTGATTTTTGTTTCTTGTCTCTGCTCCCAACCCATTTACTCTTTTAAAAAAATTACTTGACTCACTTTTCTCTTCATATTTCAGTGTTTTTCCCTTTTGTTATGCTTTGTTTGTAATTCTCACTGTACATTATTATGTTGAGTTTTGTTTTTTATTTTTGGAAATAGGCAGGCCATTACTAAATAAATATATATAGATGTGTAGATATGTGGATATGTATGTGTGTATACATGCATTTATATGCATATGTACTCATGGATATATGGTATATTCATACAGGCAACAAGTACTTATTGAGCATCTACTGACTGCACTGTAGTCGTGCTGTGTATAAACCATGGACAAGGCTGGCATGGCCCCTGCCCATGGTGCTTACAGTCTGAGGGGTAGAGAAGACAGACAATAAATTACTAAACAAGCAAGAAAATAAAATACTTATAGATCATGAAAAGTACCAGCAGGAAGCAAATTACAATGGAGAATAGAAAGGGTTTAAATAGGGTGGTCAGGGAAGTCTTCTTGGAGGAGGGGACCTTTATGCTGAGACCTGGATGACAGGGGTGAGACACCCATGAGACAAACTGGGGCGAGACTCCAGGAATAGGAATCAAAAGCTCAAAACCCTTGAGATGGCGAAACCTGGGTTTTTGTTGGAATGAAAACAAGATAGGAGTCTGAGGGAAAGCATAGGCAGTGAGCTTGCAGAGGCAGGCAAGGCTGGATCACATGTCTCATAGGCCCCAATAGGCAGTTAGATTTTTGTGCTAAGGACATTGGGGTGTCCCCAAAGGCCTTTAGATGTATGGGGAGTTGGCAGCTATCAGCGTGTGCACGCGCATGTGTGTGTGCAGAATGGTCCCTGGAAGTGCATGTGGGTATGAATTTGCATAAATGCATGTGTTTATATATACTATACATGTATGTAAGTGGTAACAGACATGGGAGCATCCTACGTAATCCCCTAGAGTGTTTCCACAGTGGGAACAGAGCCCGACTCTGACCCTTCTTGGTGTCCTCAGTGGGATGCTTTCCTTAGGCTCTCTATTAGTGCAGGGGTGGGTAGGAGGCACCAGAGCCCCTTCCCCTTCCTGCTTCCCTGGTCTGAGTGTGTGGTCAGTAACCTGCCATGCCTGAACTTTCCCACCTCTTTTAGGAAGGGAAGAAGGGAACGGTCACTCAGTCACTCGTAGTAGCTACAGTGAAAACATTTCAAACTGGTTCGAGCTCCCTAGCGGCAGAAGGTCTGCAATACAGGTCACAGGCACAGGGAGTGGCAGCACAAAGAGGAAGCCAGCTCTTCCCAACTTGGCCCATCTCCAGAGCCACATCTAGAGACATTTCTGCTAGTGGGCAATGGGGAAAGGGGTGACTTTCCAGCCACCCCTGCTGAAGAATGCTCCTCAGCGACTGGATTCTCCATGGGAGAGCTGAGGAGTGGTGGATAAGATGGACGACGAGGGAGAAGTGACCGCACCGCTCTGCCCCCACCACGTGGTGACAGGTGGAAAAATGGCAGGCAGCCAGGAAACAAGGTGATTGGGGACAGGCAGGGAATTCCCTGCCCCTTCTTGTCTCCTGGAAAACTGTGAAGGTGAAGATGTGTCTAGAGAGCCCTTGAAATGACAAGTAGGGGGTTTGGGGGGAGGGGAGAAGAAAGGGGCCCGAGAGTCTCACCAATTCCTTGTGCTCCTCAGTGAGGCTGGAGGGCAGGGTGTCCATGTACGAATCCTTTAGGGGCTTCCAGCCCAGCTGATGGGGCTCCATGTAGATCATCCCACACCTGGAAGCACAAACAGAGGCCAGGCTAGGTGCTCCCTCATGTGTACTAGCACCAGCTAACATTTAGCAGCATCTGCTGCACATTGGGCACCGTGCTAGGCCTTAATAGATCTTGACAATAACCTTCATCTAACCACGTGGTTTCCCTTATCCTATTCCCCTGGGTTTCCCCACCTCAGGTCACACAGCATGTTAAATCTCGTGTTCACCAGCCCCTTGATTTCTTTCATTCTTACATAGTTTTATAGCATTTCTGTGTGTTCCTAAAATATATATATATATATATATATATATTTTTTTTTTTTTTTTATTTTCATTGTTTTTAGCAACTTATATGGGGTACCATGTTGTAGGTAATATTTTGGGCTTACTTTTATAATAATATTGCTAAGATTTTTGTCCTTAATGTATTTACTAAGGTTTATCCATGTAATTGCACGTCAGTACAGTTCATTTGTTTTGAGTGCTATATATAAATCTTATAATTTCTGACTATATTATACTTTTATTAATTCACTCTTGTTAATGGGCATTTAGGCTGTTTCCAAGTGTTGGTTATTGTTGGTTGTGCCACAGTGAATATTATTGAACAGCTCTCCTATTTCACATGGGCAAAATCTTCTTTTGGGTATGTACTTAGGAGTGGAATTGCTGGGTCATGGGCATGTGAAGGTTCAACTTTAGGAGATAATGTCAAACTGTTTTTCAAAGCACTTGCTTGATTTTAGATACCCACCAGCAGTGTGGATTGAGGACTAATTTTATGATGAATTTAAGTGAACAACAAATAATATAGGTGATCTTCTAAGGCTTAATCACACTTGTGGATTTTTAGAGCTTTCTTTCTGGCTTAGGGTTAGTGGGGCCACACGTGTCCCCAGGGTACCAGTGCAAGCTGACTTACCTGCTCACAGTGGCTGGAGAGGCCTGCTCAAGGTCAGCTGGCTCGAAGATCAGACTCATCTTGGGGCTCATCTGGATAATCTCCCCACTCATTAAACACAGCTAAAAGTGCAAAGCAGAGGGGCAGAGAGGGGGCAAAGGGGTTATATTCCATCTGCAAGTGAAAGGCCCCAGTAGAGACGAAGCTTGTTTGAATACATTCCATAAATATTTCTTGCGCACCTACTAGGCACCAGGCACTGTTCTAGGTGCATAGAAAAAACAGCCCAGAGGGGAGGGAGGTTGGGGAGAGGTTGGATGGAGGACTTGGGGAGTAGCTGCAATTTGCGGTGATGGGCATGCTGATAGCATTGATTCGATCATCACATTTTGGGCACAGGTGGTGATGGTCAGCTTTGTACCCCACAAATATGCATAATCAATAATAAAAAACAGACAAAACTCCCTGTCCTCTTGAGGTTTATATTCAGCTGGGAGGAGGCAGATGATAAACAAAATATACAGTACAAGGGCTCTTCAAAAAGTTTGTGGAAGGCTTGTATTATCTTTTAATTCCATTTTCCCATGAACTTTTTGTAGTTCCCTCATATATAAAATGATGAAAAGTGATTCAGAGGAAAATGAAGTGTCAATAATAAAAAACAGACAAAACTCCCTGTCCTCTTGAGGTTTATATTCAGCTGGGAGGAGACAGATGATAAACAAAATATACAGTACAAGGGCTCTTCAAAAGGTTTGTGGAAGGTTTGTATTATCTTTTAATTCCATTTTCCCATGAACTTTTTGTAGTTCCCTCATATATAAAATGATGAAAAGTGATTCAGAGGAAAATGAAGTGGAAGAGAGGAGCTCAGTCATGGCTGGGTGAGCTGCAATATTAAATAGGGAGGTCAGAAAATCCACTGAATTGCAACCTTAGATGAAGAATCAAGAAGTTATCAGACATGCCATGTTTCAAGGGCCCATCCTCAGTGTTTAATGCAGAACTTCCGTTCACATTCTCACCGTTTTATTTGCTCAAGTCTCTCACAAAAGACTCCTTTGAACCCCCTGCAACATGGACTAATCTATGGATGGAGTGACAAGATCTCTCCATAAATCCCTTTCAAAATGGAATGAGAGACCATCAGAAGTGCTAGTGTTCAGCAGGCACAGTCCTGTAGAAAGTCATGCAAACATATAGGACAGGCTTGGAATACACTCTCAGTCAAGGGCACTGCTTTCCATTTGCCAATATGGGTTCAAGTGAGATGTTTAAGTCATAAGGCGAGGCCTGAGGCTTTGCTCTCAGGTGAGAAGAGGAGATATCATCAATCCTTGCTGTTCATCCCAACTGTGGTTAAAAAATTCCTTGCCATTGTGTGGCCCACATCAAACACATCGTGGAACAGGTTCCTGCATGCATCCCCAGGAAAGTCACAGCTATTATGGGGCAGACACCAGCAGCCCTGTCATCTCTGAATATCGAGAAAAGTAGAATAGACCCAAACCTGTGACTGTAATTTTATGTCCACCCAGAGCAGAGAAGAACCATTAGGAAATTCACCAATTATGACTCTCTTTATACTTCTAATCTTAAGACCAACTAATACATTTATACTATTAGTTTATATAATATATTCTGTATCGTGTAATAAAACATTTCTATTTTTATATATTATACAATCAAAATTATGCATATGCTATAATTAGTGTAGGTATATAATTTGGATAATTAGGCATTCCATTGTAAAGCATGAGTCACTCTTACTCTTGTGACATTTAAATACAGTTTGGAAATATATTTTGATTTGATAATGACATATTCCATGTAGGAACTCTTCCTTGAAATGGTAATAAATTTTATTTTATTTCATTTTAACAAATAGTTATCTGGCACTTGGTATATGCTGGGCACTATTATAAACAGTTTGCAAATATTAATTTATTTAATCTTTCTAACAACATTATGAGGTAGATACCGTTATCCCCATTTCACCAGTGATGAAGTTGAGGCATTGAGAGACTGCTCGGCATGTCTGAAGTTACACAGCTGGTAAGTAGCAGCACCAGGATTTGAACCCCGTCTGTTTGGCTCCGGAGTCCAAGCTCTTTAGCTATCATGTTGACTATGACAGAATGTATTTTCCACAGATCACTGCAACAAAACCTCCCATCCCACAGGCACTTTTTCTTTTTTTCTTTTTTAAAAGATGACCGGTAAGGGGATCTTAACCCTTGACTTGGTGTTGTCAGCACCACGCTCTCCCAAGTGAGCCAACTGGCCATCCCTGTATAGGGATCCGAACCCATGGCCTTGGTGTTATCAACACCATTCTCTCCCAAGTAAGCCATGGGCCGGGCCCCCACAGGCGCTTTTTCAATGTGACCTTGCCCACCTC